CAACTGCCGCGCTGCCCGGGCAGACCCGCACGGGGGCGGGCGCGAGGGGCGAGGAGAGGGGGGCCTCAAGAGCTGCAACATGGGCAGCCAGACCATGGGGCGAGACCACGGCGGCATCGAGTTTTGCGAACGTCCGCCAAAAGTCGCTCTTGCCCCCTCGGGCAAAGCGAACTGCGATCACGCAGAGCCGCCCCGCGCGGGTCCGCGCGCCCCCCTGGCAAGGGGAGACCGCTGCGCGCGCGCGAGCCGCGGGGGGCGCGAGGCTAGGCATGCCCAGAGGCAGCCAGCTAAGCACAGCGACGGCGCGCTGCGCGCGCGCGGCGCGCTTCAGCCGCCGGCGATCGCGAGAGCGACCCGTCGACGATGCCGCGCGGGGCTCGAGGGCGGGGGCTGGAAGGCACGGCCAAGGATCGCAGGAGAAGCGCGCCCCGAAGGAGGGGCGCGGCGAGCGGGAGAAAAAGGCAATAGAACACCGAGCACGCTGCCCCACCTGCGCCAGCGCGGCGGCCCAGCGGGCGACATCGACGTTCGCGCCAAGGATATGGCGCAGCAAGGCAGTCAGGCCAGCGACGAAGGGCGCGACCTTAGCAGCGGCGCAGGCGGCGGGCGAACTGGCGCCCGCGCCGCAAGAGCAGGGAGGCACCACAGGCCCCAATGGGGCTCGAGAGGGCCCGGGGCGGAGCGAGGGCCGCGGCCGCGGGGCGCGCGCCCCCCTGCGGGGTCACAACAGCATTGCTGGAGCAGCACATTCCCCAGCCGCGGCCCCGCTCAGCCAGGGCACGCCGGGCGGTCGCAGCGTCGCCGAAAACATCGGCTCGTCGCGACCGCCGCCCTCGACCACCGCGCGCAAAATGCGCTGGGCTCCCCCATCGAACTCAGACCCCACCGGCCTTATCGAAAAGGGCCTTTCGAGGACGACGTATTGCTCTGGGACTTCGCCTTGGGCGGCGCCTTCGACTCGGCCGCGGGGGGGGCCTCCGCCCGCCCCGCTCGCTCAGCGTTGAGGCGAGAACGGAAGGACGCCATCTCCTTCACGCAGTCGCCCTGGGCCTACAGCCAGCGGTGATCCACGACAGAGAGACGGGCAACTGGGCCCCCCTCCCCGCGTGGACGCGAGTCGCCTGCACCTGGGGCGCATTGAGGCCCGCCGGGAACCAAGTGGCTTCCAGGTAGCCGCGGCCCCCTGCCAGCTGGTCCAGGAACATGCGCAGGCAGCTGATCAGGGTTTCCAACCTGTCTGCGCGGCACCGCTCCGCGCTCGGCCACGAAGTGGGCGATCATCTCGCGCGTCGCAGGGCGCGGGAGATCCAAGCTGGCCTAAGATCTTGCGGCATCGTCGTTGAAGTTGCGTCGGCGGCGGCTGATCTGGGCGTTGAGCGCGGCAGTGGCGCGAAGATTTCCTAGCCCCGCCATGCCGGGCGCATCTCCCAGGCCCATCCCGAGCTGCTCTTGGGGGGCCCGGGCCCCCAGCAAGCTGCGCTCGCGAAAATGCTGGAACATGGCCGCGGGGGTGACCGCGGGGGGCCCTGCCAACAGAGCCCGAGCAAGGTTTGCCCTCAGAACGGGTCGAAGCTCTTGCCCATGCTGCACCCGCACTTGCTGCCACCCCTTGCGACGCGCAATCCCGCGCATCGAAGTTCCAGCCGCTCCCCCCTCGACCATTGCCCCCAGAGCGACGGGGGCAGCGGGGTGAAGAGGGTCGCCGCGCGTCTCCTGGAGGGAGCGCGTCGCCGCCCTCGGCTGCCCCGAACGCAGGAGGGCCCCCCGCACGCGCAGCAACGCCACCTCCAGAGTGGACCCCCGCGGCGCCACCCCCAACGCAGTCGCCGACCCCGCCGGGCGCAGCAAGGCCTGGAGGGGCAGGGGGCGGCCGCGGCGCCAGGGGCGGCGGAGGAGGCGGACGCGCGCTCGCGGGCGCCCTCTTCCTCGCGCCGTCGCCGACGCCGACGCGGGCGTCGGGGCGCGGCCCTGGGCGCGCTGCGGGGGGGGGGGGGGGGGGCGACTGCGCTAGCCGCTAGCATCGCCTGCAAGCCCTCTTGAGGGATGCCCGCGCGCGCCGCTTCGTCTGCGAACAGCGGAGGCGCCTCGACGCGGGCCCCCAGCGCGCTCGGGCGCGCAACCAAGGGTGGAGCCGCAGACTGGGCCACATTCGCGGCAATCAGCCGCTGGATCTCCAGCTGGACCCCCGCGCGAGTCCTCGCCCAGAGCCGCGGCGATCGCCCCCCCCGTACGGGGGCGGGCTTCGCTCGCCCAAGGCTTCGGCTGAGCGCCGAGGCGGGCCCCGCGGCGGAAGGGGGGGGTGCCGCTGGCAGCGGCGCCGCTCACACGGGGAGGGAAGGGCGCTAGTCGGCGTCGGCGTCGCCTTCCCCCTCGCCCTCTGCGAACTCGTCCGCGGAACGGAAGGGCGCGCTCTCACCTGGCCAGGGGGGGGGGGGCACCCTCCCCGCTCAGCGTCGCAGCGCCGTGGATCGCCGCGAATCCATCGCGTAAGCCGACGACCCCCGAAGGGCGCGGCCAACGCACGAGGACACGGGCGGATTCGAACGGGACAACCCCGTCGGCTTCTCTGTCATCGAGAGGGGCGAGAGCCTCCAACTCCGGCGCGGAGATCTCTAAGTCGAAAACGAGCACTGACGCGGTCGCGCTCAGCGGGCGCGACGCCGCGCCGAGCGAGGGCAAGCTGACAACATGGACGGGTCCAACGGCCAGTGGGAAGGACTCAAGCAGTGCCAGCAGGATGCCCCCAGGCCGCATGGCCACGGGGATCGCTGCATAGTTCACCTCGCCCTCGCCCAGCCGCCAGCGGTCGTAGCGCGACGCTGTCGGGGACGAGAACGGATGAAGAACGGGCCACGGCCCGTCGAGGATGGCGACTCCACGCGACGCCGAAGCGTCTGGGGGCGCACAAGCCGCAAGCCGAGCTCAGCCGTGATGGGGCGCAGCGGCTGGGCCTCGCGCCAAGGCCCGCGCACGCTGCTCAGCGGGCCGCGACCGAACCCCCCAGGGGCTACGATCGCCGCCCGTGTGCGAGGGGGCCCTGACGACCCCCACCAGCGGGCCACCAAAACTCCGACGCAACAGCCTCCGCAAAGGCTGCAGCCGGCGGCGGTCACCAACAGGGCCACCACCGACGAGAGCAGCATAACGGTCACCCCGCTGCCCAGGTCCACAGCCAGCCCCAGGCAGACGGTGGGGCAGGCCCCACCTGCAGCGGCGGGAGGGTAGTACCCTCTGCCGCTCAGGTCGGCCTTGGCGGACCACGCGGACCCCGCGGGGGAGCCAGCGTAGTCCGCGAGAGGCGCCAAAGGTTGGCCCACGAGCCGCTCGCAGAGCGCGGCACGCAAGCCTTGGAAGAGCACCGCCCCCACACCCTCGATGGCGGCCTGGGCAAGCGACTGCATAAATCGCCCGCCCGGGGATGCCACGCGAGGATTCAAGGCCGAAACATCTGCAGACGACCATGACGCGCGCGGACAGAAAGTATACGAGAGAGCATCCACCACATCATCAGTACCACCACCAGCATCATTGTCATGATCATCATTGCCATCATCGTCATCACCATCACCATAATCACCATCAGCAGCATCAGAATCATCACCCTAATCATCATCATCGTCATCAGCATTATAATCATAATCATTATCATCAACAAAATCCGAATCAGAAACATCATCATCACCACCAATCAGCATCATCACCACCATCACCATAGTATGACTCGTTTTCCTCATCAGTACCATCACTATCGTCGTCATCATTATCATCACAAACATCATCATCACCACCACCACCATCATCATCATCATCATCAGTATCAGTATCGTCATCGTCGTCGCCATCGTCGTCGTCGTTGTCGTCATCGTCGTCGTCATCGTCAGCATCCACACCAGCATCAGCCTCATCCTGGCACTCGTACTCCTCATCATCCTCATCCTCCTCATCATCCTCACCACCACCATCATCATCATCATCATCATCATCATCATCACCATCACCATCACCAATCACAAACCAACCATCACCAATCACCACCACCACCATCATTATCAGCAGCATTATCATCATCATCATCATCATCATCATCATCATCATCATCATCATCAGCAACATCAGCAACATCAGCAACAGCATCACCATCCTCATACTCATCATCATCAGCAGCTCCAGCATCAGCATCAGCATCAGCATCATCATACCATCATCACCACCACCAACATCATCATCATCATCATCATCATCAGCATCATCATCATCACCACCATCATCATCATCACCATCACCATCACCATCGTCATCGTCATCGTCATCGTCATCACTATCATCACCACCACCACCACCATCATCAGCGTCATCAGCATCACCAGCATCATCATACTCATCATCATCATCATCATCATCATCATCATCATCATCATCATCATCATCATCATCATCATCATCACAATCAGCATCATCATCATCCCTATCCTCTTCCTCGTCCCACCTACTCCTCCTTCCTCCCTCCTGCCCACTCTTCCCTACTCCTCTTTTCTCCACTCCCCTCCTCCTCCTCCTCCTCTTCCTCTCCCTCCTCCCCGTCCTCCTCCTTCCTTCACTTCCTCCCTCTTCCCCTCTCCCCCTCCGACCCTCTCGTGCCCCCATCGAGGACCGAGAATGAGAGGGGAAATGAAGGCGTGAGATGGCGAAGGGGACGAGCAAATGTGAACCGAGCTAGCCGATCACGGAACAACATGTTAATCATGCTGCCAGAATCCATGCCTCCAGAAGGGTCGTCCCAGTGACTCGTGGGACGCCCCAAATGGGGGCGGACAAAGATGAGAGGCGATACTCAACCGCGGACGTCGTTCGCGGCAACACCGACCGGGACCCTGTTCAAAATGGGCAAGAACGGTTATAAGGTTTCGCCCCCATTATTTTCGTTCCCAGATTGGTCATCCCGACACTCCTTCTAGGCCTTCTACCCATACCTCCTTCCTACTCCTCCTCCTCCTCCTGGCGACCACCAGCTCCGTCTTCTGCTTCAGCGCAGCTCTTCCGGCCTCCTGACGGGATCGACCCAACAGTTTGCAGATGGTGACGGAAACCGGCGAATGGCGCAGCCCTCGTCTCCCTCCCCCTCGTCTCCCTCCTCCTCCTCCTCCTCCTCCTCCTCCTCCTCCTCCTCCTCCTCCTCCTCATCCCACCACAACCACCAACCACCACTACCACTACCACCACCACCACCCATCATCATCACCATCATCATCATCATCATCCTCATCATCATCCTCATCATCATCATCATCATCATCATCATCACCACCACCACCACCACCACAACTATCATCATCATCAGCAGCAGCATCATCAACATCATCATCATCATCAGCATCATCATCATCATCATCATTATCATCATCATCACCACCACCACCATCATCATCATCATCACCATCACCATCATCAACATCATCATCAGCATCATAATCATCATCATCACCATCACCATCACCATCATCAGCATCACCGCAACCGCCACCACCACCATCATCATCACCATCAGCAGCATCAGCATCAGCATCATCATCATCAGCAGCATCATCATCAGCATCAGTATCAGCATCATCAGCATCATCAGCATCAACAGCATCATCATCACCATCACCATCACCACCATCATCATCAGCATAATCATCATCATCATCGTCGTCGTCATCATCGTCATCATCATCATCGTCGTCGTCATCATCATCATCATAATCATCACCATCATCACCATCATCATCACAATCATCATCATAATTATCATCATTATCATCATCGTCGTCATCGTCATCCTCATCAGCAGCATCAGCATCATCATCACCATCATCAGTGTAAGCATCATCATAATCAGCAGCATCATCATCAGCAGCAGCATCAGCATCATTATCATCACCATCATCATCATCAGCATCAGTATCATCATCATCAGACTCATCATCATCATCATCATCATCATCATCACCTCCATCGCCATCACCATCACCATCACCATCATCATCAGCATCATCATGACCATCAGCATCATCACCATCGCCATCATCATCATCATCATCATCATCATCATCATCATCAACACCATCATTATCATACCCATCCTCCTTCTCCTCCTTGTCCTCCTGGCCACCTCCCTGGGGGGCGAAAATGATCCGATCCAATCAACGACTGTCAAGGCGTGATGACTGGGAACCTATACACTCAAACTCAAATCCGGTCGAGAAGCCGAGGCACCTGGCTCCACGCATGCAAGAAATACGTGGCGGCTAGGGCAACAAGGAGACACCTTTCCGCCGACCCCCCTGCAGGGGCCACCAAGCTGCTAAGACGGGGCTTCAACAACGCAAGTACCTTCCTGAGCTCCTCGGCCCCCAGTCACAATCCCAATGCAATTTTCAGTTTCCAATCTCCAATACCAGAGAAAAACCAAAATCATAATCTTTTTAGGGCTATAGGGCTATAGAACTATAGGGCTATAGGCCTATAGGGGCTGTAAGGGGCTATAGGGCTATAGGGCTATAGGACTATAGGGCTACAAGGATATAAGGCTATAGGGATATAGGGCTATAGGGCTATTCTGCTATAGGGATATAGGGCTATAGGGCTATAGGACTATAGGGCTACAAGGGCTATAAAGCTATAGGGCTACCGGGCACCCGGGCGGCACCCGCGCACCTGGGCACCCGGGCACCTGGGCACCTGGGCACCCGGGCACCTGGGCACCCTGGCAGCCGGGCGGGCCGCCGAAATCGGCGGCGCACCTCACCGGGCACCCGGGCACCCGGGCACCTGGGCACCCGGGCGGGCCGCCGAAATCGGCGGCGCACCTAACCAAACCATATGAATCCGCTAGGACCCCTACAGAGGCAAGCTCTGATGGGGGAAATAAATTATGTTTCGCTTTTCACTGTAAATGGCTGCTGTTCGCAAGAGTGGGGGAACCGAAGACCACCGTATTCACCAAGGCCTCCAGAGATTCTCAAAAACAATGGTTCCTTTGACATAACCCCAGAGTCGCACCTCCAGGCCACGGTCCCACGTAAATGACGCAAGATGAATGCTCCCGCGACCACGATCCTTGCAAATTGCGCCAGATCCGCGATACCGAGGCCATCATCTCTGACAACTTACGCCAATTTCGCTCCCCCGAGGCCACGATCCCTTGTAAATTACATCGGGCTCGTGCCCCCGAGGCCATGACCCTCTTGAAGATACACCAGATTTGCGCCTTCAGAGCCATAATCCTTGCCATATTGCTCGAGATCCGCGCCTCCAGGGCCCCTGTTGAACTACTCAAGATCCGCGCCCCCGAGGCACGATCCCTTGTAAATTAAACCAAGTTCTGGCATCCACATCCAAGGCCACGATCCATCCCTAGTAAATAACACCAAATGTGCGCCCCCGACGCCACGATCTCTTATGCACTACCCCAACGTCGGGCGCCCGAGGCCAAAAGCCCTTCGGAAAAAAAGCCACAGTTGCGCCCCCAAGGTTACGTTGCTCCCATCCTACTTAAGGACCACATCCCAGAAAAAATGTCGAGCACCCGGAAAAGTGTCAAAACACCGTCGAAACAGTGTCGAAACAGTGTCGGGCGAGTGTCTCCCAGGGCCCGACACGTGAAAACCATCGAATTTCGGTGCTTTTTTTGGTGCTCGAAATTCTTTCTGGTGATCAGGGCTAAAGTAGGTTGGAACATCATAACCCCAAGGCCACGAACTCGTGTAAATGACGTCATGATCACCAGCCGTCCTCGCATGAGTACCCGATATTGCTTCAAGTCGGCGCCCAGGCATCCCAACATAACGCTGGCATATCCCAATATGATAATAAGGAGCTGGCGGCTGAGGGCGAAGCCCCTACCGACATCGCTCACCTGGCATTCCAAAGAAATCAAAAGAAAGACATGTTCCAACCGCTGCCCAGGGAAACGCTCCCGGCTGCGAAAAACGATCGTTGGGTTTGTGTCATGTCGCAAGAAAGAACTGATGAGACATGTAATTTGGCGCCGTGGTCGACCTCGGCGTCGGACTCAAGCTGAGATCCAGCGCAAAACTTGCGAAGGCCAATCTGTCGAGCCACTTTGGAGGATTCGTGCCACGAGGCGCCACGTTGGTCAGTCCAACACAGCGAACCAGTCTGACAAAGTGAAGTGCCCAAAGCAGCGCGTCCGTTTTGCTTGCCACGTCGCCCCGTCTCTTCCCAATGTTCGTCGGGAAGTTTGCTTCAGCAGGCGATCCTTCGGAGCATTCTTGAACGCGTTGATGCAAGTATGTAGTTGCCGATGCTGTGCTGTTGTGGCCGTGGTCGAGAGACCGTAGACAACAGCGCCAAAAAGCTCAAACCGAAGGCGCAAGGATATAGTTTTACTCAAAAGCACTGCTTTGTGCGAGTGACATGTTCACCATGCGTTCTCTATGCGGTAATCTACATTGCACGTTGATAGGCTGCGCAAATCGCCTCATAATTTCTTGCCGCGATACGTGTGGAGCAACTGAGAAGTCATGACAGGCAACTGGCATTCGGCAAGCTGCAGAACAACAGGCTCTTCGACGTTGGAAACAGCAACATCAATATAAGGTTCGCGTTTTCTTTGAAACTGGTGCGAGGCGCATGTTGCCAGCTCTTCCGACAAAATGTCCACCATACGAGTGACCCCTGCAGCATAACGTGAATGTAGCAACATGTCATCAGCATGCCGCATGTTGATGGGAAGACTGCTGCCTCCAACGTTCGAGCCGCACTGCTGGCACGTTCTTGAACCTCCGAACTGCGTGCTCGAGGCCAGCGTTAAAAAGCAGCGATGACCGAGCAATTACTTGCTTGACGCCACGCGTAATGTCAAACTCTGCGTTGCCGTTGACGCTTCCCCATTGGGCGCTGTAGGTGTCCGACAAGAGCTGCAAGTATTCTATATCAACTCCCTGTTCAGGCAATGCCCAGAAAAGCACGTGGTGCTGTCAGCTTTGGTGAGGCCAATGCTGGCGATCCACAGCAGGAGCTCCGACTCCCATGCGTTCGTGCAAAAGTCATCCAAACCGGCGAAGGCATCGTCGAAGTAACCAGTCGTACGTAGGCAGTGAGCCCATCAAAAAAACGCATTTAGATGTGGCAACCACTGGAAAACCAAAACAGAGCGTAAAAATCCGCCGACCCTGTCGGCGTGTGCGAGACGCTGTTTCGTTTGACTCGTCGTCGTCGTCGTCGCCGCCGTCGCCGTCGCCGTCGCCGTCGCCGTTCCCACCCTTTCTTGGACCAAAGCGAAATTGAGCAACGTCGTAGTTGAGTCGAAAGAAGACCCTTCCCTTTAATCCCTTGCCCGCCGGAGGGGGGGGGGGCCAGGGGGGTGTGGAGGGGGGGGTCCCGGGTCAGAATGCGATCCCCCGCGGGGGGGCCCAGTCCAAAAACGGCCTCAAGACGGGCCAAGAATGCCCCAAGAGGCCCCAAGACAGTCCAAGAGGGCCCCGAATCGCCGAACGATCGGTCGAAGACGCCCAAGATAGCTTCCAGACGGCTCATGAGGCCTCCTAGACGCCCCAAGCGGCCTCCAAGAGCACTCCAAAAGAGGACCCTACGAGGCACACTTCATTGATTCCCCATCGGTTTTTTAACAGGCTTTGGCGTTCTCGCCTTTTTCCCGACGCTCCAAAACAGCCCAACAAACCCCAAACATCGCCCCAAGACGGCCCACGACAGCCCCAAAACGAACCAAGAGGGCCCCAAGACGGCCCAAGAGGCAAAAGGCCTCCAAGACGGCCCAAGAGGTCCACCAGACGGCTCCAAGAGGGTGCCCAGACGGGGGGCCCGAACGGCCATTTCGAGCCTTCGGCCCCGAGAGGCTCTCAGGAGGCCTCAAGAGGCCCCCAAGAGCCCCCCAAGAGGCCCCCAGAAAGGCCCAAGAGGTCCCCAAGAGACTCCCGAAAGGCCCCCAAGTGGCTCCCGAGAGGCCCCCGAACTGACCCACAGAGGCCCCCGAAGA